GACATTTTACCAGAGAAGAGATATAAAATGCAAAGTAAAACTACAGAGGCACCACTTCATACCCACTGGGACGACTGGGTGTGGAGAAACTGGAACCTTCACTTATTGCTGATGGGAGTGTAAAATGGTCCAGCCAATTTGAAAAACAGTCTGGCAGTTCCTCAAAATGTTAAACATGGGGTTACATATGACCCAGCAGTTCTACTCCTAGGTATATACCCAAAAGAATTGAAAGCATACTTCCACTTACACATAAGTGTTCATGGCAGCATGTTTCATAATAGCCAGAGAGGGTAAACAACCCAGATGCCCATCAGCAGAAGGTGGAATTTAGCCAGAGGACCACGGTCTGCTAGCCCTGATTTAAATGGTGAAACTATTGGCATGCATCTGTAATTCCATCTACTTGGAAGGCTGAGGTAGAAGGATTGCTTAAGCCTATGAGGTGGAGGCTGCAGTGGCCGTGAGCGTGCCACTGCACTCCAGTCTGGGTGACAAGAGACTCCAACTCAAAAATTTAAAAAAAAAAAATGGTGAAACTATCGATTTCCTCCCAGCAGCTACATTAAACTTAGTAGTGAAACACAAGAAGTAAGGTGGGCACAGTGGCTCACACCTGTTATCCCAACACATTGAGAGGTGGAAGCAAGAGGATTGCCTGAGCCCAGGGGTTCAAGACTAGTCTGGGCAATTTGGCAAGACCTCTTCTCTACAATAAATAAAAAAAATTAGCCAGACGTGGTGGTGTGTGCCTGTAGTTACAGCTAGTTGGAAGGCTGAGGTGGAAGGATCACCTGAACCCAGCAGATTGAGGCTGCAGTGGCCATGAGTGTGCCACTGCAGTCCAGCCTGGTTGGCACAGTAAGACTCCAACTCAAAAAAAAGAAACACAAGAAGGAAGCTCATTACCTCCATAACAAAATACCAGGTTTCACTATTATGATTTAATATTTGGTTTTGGAAATCCTGACTATTATAATAGAAAAAACAGGAACAACAGATATATAAAGCCTCAATAATCAAGAGAGATACAAGAATAAATTTTTGATTGTTGGTCAGCTAAAGTCAGTACCTGAGTCACAAAATGGAAAGAAAACATCAGCGATATTTAGAGTTTTGTGGTGGTCAGATTGTTAGTGTTCTATTTCTTTTTTCCAGTTTCCAAACTTTCTGCAATATTGTGTTTCTTTGGAAGCTAAGAATATTTTAAATTTTGGAACATTAGGATAGTTTTCCTAAGCAATTTGAAGTAAGCTTTAAAGTATATCTCATTTGGCCTATGTAGTAACCCATGCCTATAATCCCAGCCCTTGGGAGGCCAAGGCAAGAGGATCGCTTGAGGCTAGGAGTTCAAGACAAGCTGGAGCAATACAGTGAGACCCCCCATCTCTACAAAAGAAAACAAATGAATAAGTAATTCTGTCATGGTGGAGCAGACCTATAGTCCTTCAGGAAGCTGAAGCAAGAGGATCCTCTGAGCCTGGTAATTTGAGGTTTCAGGGAGCTGCAGTCACAGCCTGGATGGCACAGCAAGACCTTATCTCTGGATGAAAAAGCATATCTAAGTCAAAAAATATCTTGATCATTTTTTTCCTTAAAACCTGAAATATATCTGTGCTTTAACCTTTTTCTGTCTATTTTTGTGTATGGGGTGGCGAGAGGTCTTCATGTATGTCTTTAAGATAATTGTGTTAACTCTTAATTTTCTTTGAAACTGGCTGTTTCCATTTTCTTTCTTTTTTTCCTTTTTCTTTTCCTTTTTTTTTTTTGAGTTGGAGTCTCACTCTGTCACCTAGGCTGGAGTGGCACAGTCACAGCTCACTGCTGGGAGTACAGGCTCACACCACCACCTCAGCTAATTTTTTTGTAGAGACATCTCACTATATTGCCTAGGCTGGTCTTGAACTCCTGGACTCAAGCGGTCCTCTCATCTCAGTCTCCAAAGTGCTGGGATTACAGGTGTGAGCCGCCATATCCGACTGCTATTTCCATTTTCTAAGCTGGTGTTTTATAACGTTATTCTCCCACAAAGTGAGAGGCCACATGGTGCTGAGGAAAAGCCTAGCATGTGAGTTACTTGACTGCTCTAACCTTTGGTTTCTTTATCATTAAATGAAAATTTGTGCCTTTTTCTTACTTTCAACTTACAAGTGTATGGTTCTCCTTTTTTGGTGATAAAATTTCTTGCTTTGTATCAAATAATTTTTAAGATCAATCCCAGTTCCAACAGATGATTCTGTGATCTTTATTTCTTTCTTTTTTTGAGTTGGAGTCTCACTCCGTTACCCAGACTTGAGTGCAGTGGCACTCTCCTGTCCACTACAGCCTCAACCCACTGGGCTCCGGTGATCCTTCTGCCTCAGCCTTCCAAATAGCTGGAACTACAGGCGTGTGCTACCATGCCCAGCTAATTTTTGATTTATTGTAGAGATGAGGTCTTGCCAAGTTGCTCGAGCGGATCTCAAACCCATGGGCTTAGGCAATCCATTCATCTCGGCCTCCCAAAGCACCGGGTTACAGGCTGAGCCACCGAGCTGGCCAATCTTTATTTCTGTTAACTCTTTCCTTCGTGAATCAACAAAGGAAAATAATGCAAGTTAGAATTTCCATTAATTTGAAAACTTAGGAATACATATTTGACTCCATACTATTTGGGTACCATTTTATCAAGGGTTCTCTAAATGGTTTGGGTCTTATGTTTTTGAACTCTCATTATAATAATGTAGCTGCTCACAGAATAGAATCATTCAGTAGTTTGATGTTTGAGCATTACTAATTAAGACTTTTTCACTATAGAATCCACAAGGACGCACTGGGGTTATTCAGTCATTTAAAAAATTATTCACAAAGCCAGTTCAGCATTCAATTTATATTTTGGCACTTAGGTTACTATTTAAGATGGTGATCTCCTCCTTCAGTACATGCTTCTGAGTATTACCAGGCCAAGGCAAGTATGTTTTTTTCGCCTACCCTAACTAAATTAGAAAAATTCAGAATGAACTGAATAATCCAGAATATTTATCACTGTCAATGAAAGTCAGTGCTTTTCCCTCCAGGTAGAGTTAGAATGCACATTAAAGTGATTTGCTTAATTTCAATAATTTATCAATCGGATTTGTAATTTTGGTGAAGATATTGGTCACTTAATTTTCAATGCAAAGTTAAATAATCTTGTGTGTGTGTAACCCATGAGGCAATGGAAAGATCCATTCTTCACCACAAAGGAACCTGAAAGCTTGGGTCAGGTCACCCTTGTGGTACTGAGTCCAGGTGGATGAGAGCAGGAGACTGACTGCATCATGATTCACACAGCAGATTGCTGTTCCCTCCTTTGAGATGTCATAATTTGATACATATGAAGTTTTCCTCCAGGAAGAGAACGCACTGATCAAGCCAATCCAAGCATTTTGTCCCAGGAGAGTTAGGTCTTCCAGAGACATTAATAGATTGATATCTTTGTTTATATGCCTCTAGCTCTTTTAGGTGAATTAGTGGGACTCTGTCTTCCCATGTCCCATCAACTGTGGGACCCTAATATGACCGAGACTTCAGACCAGAGCCTGGGCTGTGTTATATAAATTTATTAGCCAAGCCATGGTGTGAAGTCTTTTGAAAGACTGCCACTGTGCTGCTTCTGGTGACATCCTCACATCATTTGAAGCCCCGCCCTTCATTTTCACCTTAGATTATAGAAAACCTCTTTGGAAAAATATGTCCATTTTAAAACATTTTTAGGAATTCGGATTTATCACTAAATATGAAAGTAAAGCACCTGACACAAGTATGAAAGAAAGTTTAAATTGACCTGAAGCCTATGGTGGTTTAAGAGTAGTGGACAGAGGCATTTCTGAAATTCTATTCTGAGACTTTAATATTAAAATTAAAGAGCCAATACCTTTTGCAGCTGGAATTTTTTTTTTTTTTTTTTTTGAGTCAGTCTGTGTCACCCAGGCTGGAGTGCAGTGGCATGATCATGGCTCACCATAGCCTCAAATTCCTGGGCTCAGATGATTCTCCTGTCTCAGCCTCCCGAGTAGCTGAGACTACAGGTGCCCACCACCACACCCAGCTAAGTTTTTTATTTTTATGTAGAGATGAGGTCTTGCTATGTTGCCCAGGCTGATCTCAAGCTCCTGGGCTCAAGCAATCCTTCCACCTTGGCCTTGGAATTGTAGGCATGAGCCATCCTAAAAATGGAAAGTTTAAGACACGTGCAGATTTTTAAGCAATTTAATCTCAGTTTCATGTTGTACATATAGGCATGTATATTTACACTTTCCTGTATACATAATACATAATGAATGCCTGTGGTACTCATTTTCTGAATGGTTTGCTCTGGTGGGAGTGAGAGAAAGAAAGAAAGAACAAGAGGCAGCTTCATTGGCATTAGTGATGGTGGTGATGGTGTACTGCCAAAAAGCTTCCCTTTTGTTGCTTCCGTATGCTGTCCAAGAGACTGCAGAATTCTTACAGTTGAGAGAGCAGGCGTGCTTCGCAAGAGTTCACAGTCTTTGGCTACTTTGAAGTATGTTCCCTTCATCTATGTTTTTAACCCCAATCTCCAGGGCTGTCCCTGCCTCCCTTGGATACAGGACTCTGTTCTAATATCCAGCATATTTCCTTGCTTTCTCTCAAAGAGTATTCTGGAGAAGGAGTGTTTTTTAAGTTGATGGGTCCTATCCCCTGACCATTTTCTTGACTTTATTTCAAGAATCAGCAGTGCAATCACATATCCTCATGTTGCTGTTTTTATTTTTAATAGTCATCATTAAATACTGTCCACGTCTCATAAAAATAATATAGCTATAGAAAGGCACTAAAATTTTACATACATTAAAATAGCTTTTGATGGCATTTGACAATTTTGATAATAGTTTGGTAATTGTTAAAACACAATCTGTCTTCATTCTGAACAACTTGCCCTGAGTGTGGAGGAGATAGTCTACTGATTCTTTTTAGCATATCTAACTCAGTATCTGAACACCGTTTTTCTCTTACAGGGCTCGAGCCATTCGCTTTCGACAGGATAATAATGAAGCAGTTGGTGGTTTCTTCTCTCAGATTGGGCAGCTATATATGGTGCATCACCTTTGGGGTATATATTTTTTCATTCGTTTGTGAGTGGAATTTAGGAGCTCATTGCTAAGTTGTACTGTGCAGTAGAACAAAACTTGCGTCAATAGCCATAAACACTGTAGCAAATCCAGATGTCACAGAGCGATGGCAAGTGCTGGACTGTCTGGAATTCAAGAGATCGACAGTGAACGGTCCACAGACCGTGGCACATTAGTAAGCCGAGAGTAAGAGTGGGGGAGAGTGAAAGGAGTAAGGAGCGAAGCAGGCAGCCGTGGAGAGGGAGGACAAAGAAGGCACGCGTCCTTCCACCAGTGGCCCCGGCCTCCCTTTCTAGACTGATTTCCCACCACTGCCCCGGAGATAGCCCTTCGTTATGCCCAAAGAGGCAGCTTCCCGCACACGCAGCCCTACTGCCGGCCTTTGGTGATGTGGTTTCATCGTCCATCCCTACCCACTTCTGTTTGGCGCCATTTGGGGCAGATTTCGAGGCCTAGCTCAGATGCTACCCCTGCTGCCCCTAAGAAAACATTCTCCTTCGGAGACCCTGAATCCCTGTGCTGTGCCGGTTGTCACGGGCTTGGCTATTCGTGCCTCTCTCCCTACTGGAACAGGAACTGGGTCTCAGTGATAGTTTGGTATAATACTGCCAGGACCTCCTGGCATTTGTACAAGGTTGTTAAATGAAAAGCATAACTCATTTCCAGACCATATTAATGAATTGAGCGGTGTTCGTTTGGCCTATTTGGTTCCACCGTGTGTTGCGACCATCCGTCCTACCGTGTCAGCATAGCAGGGCTTACAGAGATGGGAAGGACGGGTCTCGTCAGGAATAAAGCAAACAAGGCAACGTGTGACCAGTAACAGGGAGTCTGTTCAGGCTACTCTGGAGACTTAAAGGGAGGTAGATACATGCACTCAGGGAAGGTGAGCAAAAGGCCGAATGTGAGCTGGACTTTAGGATCTAGATGGAATTGACAGGCAAGGGTGAGACAGAAGGACCGGCACAGTGGTGGAGGGGCAGCAGACTACAAAAAGTACTCAGAACACTGCAAATAGTGCAGACTGGCTAAATGGCAAGATAGCTGCTAGGAACCTAAGTCAGAATGAGTAAGTTGAGGCAAAAAAAAAAGTAGTGTTGACATTGAGCTCCTGGAGTCTTCCCTCTCCCCTTCAGAGTCTAAGGGGTCATGCCCAGCAATCACTGTCTCGTCCAGGGTATGGCGCTCATCTTAGCTCCACGCCTTGGGCTTCCTTGGCATCTAAGAGACCGAAGCCCGGCACTGAATGACAGATGCCATCAGTAACCCTTCACCTCCATACGGCACCAAAGGGCAGCATTGCCCTGGAGAACTTAATTTTCTAGTTAGCTGAAGTTTGACCCCATAAGTATCCAAGTTTTCAAATGTAGTAGGTTTAGAAACACATCTTTTAAAAATGTGTTCGGCGTTTCCCTACTGCCCTTAGATTATGCTACATTTAATTTAACCTTTAGAGATTCAAGGTAGGAGAGAAGTTGTTTTTTGTTATTATTTCGAAAATGGTGTATGTTCTGTCCAGAGTATATGAAGTGAAACGTCAGACCCTTCTCTCCTCCCTCCCCTTCATCTCAGCCTAGAGGCACCTCTGAGGATGCATACCCTCCCAAATGTCCCTGTATGTGAATAAGCACAGGTACTGTATGGGCAGGATCAGATCGGGTGGCTCACCTGTCACCAAATGCTTTGGCTCTTGGGTGGAGGTCAAGCCAGGCACACACACCTTTCATGTCATCACCTACAGCTGCCTGGATAGGGACTCCTAGATGAAAGAGCATAGAACTGCAAACAAGCAGACACCAGGGTGTGAAAGACAGAGCTCTCACAGAGGCTGTGGGCAATGCAGGGCAGACCCCTTACCTCCACGCTGTGGGGAAGACTCAGGGCGTCACAGAGCAACAGCAAGATGAGGAGCAGCTGCCAAGATACTTGTCCATGCAGAGGTGCTGAAGCCAGGAGCAACGTGATGTTTTGGGCGTCCGAGAATCCCCAAATTGCAGTGCATTTTCCTTTTCTTAAGCAGTCCCTTTCCCCACCTTGCTTTCACACCACGCTGTTCACTGTTGTCTCCAGTGTCCCAGGTTGCCACTGCCCACTTCCTACTTTATAGGAAAAAGTATTGAGATGTGCAAACATGGATTCTCAGTTGCCTGTGCCAAAAACTTACCCTCAGGTTTCCATATTTTTTAGAGAAGAAGAACCAACATTCATTATGTACCTCTAGTATGTTGGTTATTTTACTATTTTACACATCATCCCCTTTAGTCCTTATAACCACCCATCACAGATAGATACCTGGAACTCATAGATGGTGAATGAGTCACCCAGAACATGCAGCAATCTCTGGCTTCAAAGCTTGTCTTTCCTTTTCCCCTGCACTTTTTTTTTCCCAAATAGATACAGGAAGCCGAGCATGGTGGCTCACATCTGTAATCCCAGCACTTTGGGAGGCAGAGGCGAGAGGATTGCCTGAGCCCAGGGATTCAAGACCAGCCTGGGTAACTTGTGAGACCTCGCCTCTACAATAAAATTTAAAAATTAGCTGGGCATGGTGGCACGTGTCTATAGTTCCAGCTATTTGGAAGGCTGAGACAGAAGAATCACCTGAGCCCAGCAGGTCCGGGATGTGGCTGTAAGCGTGCCACTGCACTCAAGCCTGGGTGACAGAGTGAGACTCCAATTCAAAATAAATAAATAAATAGACAGATAGATGCAGGAGTGTCAGGCACTGTGGTACACGCCTGTAATCCCAGCACTTTGGGAGGCCAAGGCAGGAGGATTGCTTTAGCCCAGGAGTTTGAGGCCAACCTAGACAACATAGCAAGACCTTTTCTCTACAAAAAAAAAAAAAACGGCACATTCCTGTAGTCCCAGCTATTCGGGAGGCTGAGGTAAGAGGATTGCCTGAACTCAATAAGTCAAGGCTGCAGTGAGCTATGGTCATGCCACTGCATTCCAGACTAGGTGACAGAGTAAGACCTTGACTCAAAAAAAATTTAAATTAAATTGAAAAAATAGAGAGAAGGTCTTACTGTGCTACTCGTGCTGGTCTCAGACTCCTGGGCTCAAGTAGTCCTCTCACATTGGCCTCCTCCCAAAGTGCTAGGATTAAAGATGCGAGCCCACCATACCTGGCCTCCCTTGCACTTTTTGATAATATCCCTCCACCCTCCTTAAAGCCTTGCTCCACCACTTTCCTGTCTCTGGGTTCCATCCCTCAGTGCATGAGCATGGACTCACTCGAGTACCATCTTTAAAAAGACTCCCCAATTCAAATGCTCATAGACAGACGAATAACTAAACAGAATATGGGATATACATACAGTGGAACATTATTCAGCCATAATAAGGAATGAAATTCCAGTACATGAGAGAAAGAAACTAGACTGCTTCCACTTACCTGAAGTACCTAGAATAGACAAAGTCACAGAGACAGCACACAAAATAGAGGTTACCAGGGCTGGGGTAGTGGGGAATGGGGAGTTACTGTTTCATGAATACAGAATTTTAATTTGGGAGGATAAAAAGTTTTGAAAATGGGCCAGACATGGTGGCTCATGCCTATAATCCCAGTACTTTGGCAGGCGGAGGCGAGAGGATTGCCTGAGCCCAGGGGCTGGCAACATGGCAAGACCTTGTCTCTACAGTAAATCAAAAAATTAACTGGGTGTGGTGGTGTGCACCTGTAGTTCCAGCTACTTGGAAGGCTGAGGCAGAAGGATCCCCTGAGCCCAGCAGGTCAAGGCTGCAGTGGCTGTGAGCGTGCCACTGCACTCCATCCTGGGTAACAGAGTGAGATGCTGACTCAAAAAAAAAAGAAAAAAAAAGTTTTGAAGATGGATAATAATGGTTTTACAAAAATGTGAATGTACTTAATGCTACGGACATGTACACTTAAATGGTAAATTTTACGTTTATTCTACCAAAATACAAAAGAAATTTAAAGCCTCCCCAACCTGTTTATAGTAAAGGAAGTTTTGTTTTTCAGTGGTTAAATTGATAGGCCTCCAGGGGTAGTCATATAGGCAGTTCTGTGGGGAAAAGCATGTGTTCCACAAAAGAAACTGGAACTGAGGGAAGGAGCCCTGGACAGTCTCTTAGTGGTGACTCACTGGATGTCAAGATGCCTCAAAGGAATTCCCCTGACAAGTGATTGGAAGGATCTTGCCGAGGTTGCAAGTCAGAGGCCTCTGCATTAGATATCTATGAAATTGTACCACGACACCAAGGGCTGTGTGAGGCCTCTGACTATGCTGCTCCTCCACCCGGAACACCTTTCTCTCCATTCCTCTGTGTCAAGACCCACCTGATCAAATCACACCTTCCAGGCAGCCCTCCCTGGTATCCTCCCGCTCTTCTTGTAGACTGTGACCTCACACTGGCCACAGCACCCACAGGGGCCAACTTGCCTTTACTTGTCTCCTTGTTCTCTGCGCTAAACAGTCTCTCACCCAGATTAGTGTAGTTCTTCACGAATGTTGAGCAGAAGTGAATATGATGTTGCTTATTTGTGATCTGACAGTTTCTGGTTATGAATTTCATGTGTTATTGGAGAAGTTTACTTGGTTTGTAAAGATATATATCTTGGATTCACTAGATTTCAAGCTTAAGAGCGAATTGTTTTGCTTTTCCCACGAGGCCTAACATAATCTTGCTCAAAATAACCAACTCACAACTTTCCCAGCTCAATGCCACACACCTGAAGTACTGAAAAAAACTAGATGACCAGCTGAGTCAGTACCTTAATAAATGTACTAGTAGAATGTAGGGCATTGTGTTTTAAGTCTTGCTTCTTCTGTGTGTTTATTTTTAAGCTTACAAGGATCTTCAGACCAGGGAAGATATACGGAATGCTGCATGGCATAAACATGGCTGGGAAGAATTGGTATATTATACAGGTAATATTTAAGCAGGCATAAAATACTGATTCTTTTCATCTTATTGTTTCAGTTATGTTCTTTCACCCTGATGCTAATATTTTTATAGTGTGTTAGAATGGTGAATAATAAGATTGGAAGGAAGGGAGATGTGTGCCTTTTTATCAATAAAGAAGAATATTCTTTCAAATAGGTATGTTATCTGGTAGTGTTCAGACCCTTAGGTGTTGTGTTTTTTTTTTTTTTTTTAGATATGAGGTCCATGATTTTATTTTTTATTTTTTATTTTAAAGATGTGGGGTGCAATTCAGGGTTAAGTATAAAAATGTTCAAGATGTTGTAAATTTTACATTCTTAGCTTTTTCATAGGTTTATATATTCTCTGAAAATGTGTTAACACAAATAAAATTTGTTCTAAGCTGTCCCTTTCTCACCAAAATTGTCAGTTTCTAAAACCAAAACCTAATATATCAGTTAAAGAGTAATTTTGAAATTTAATTTATACATATGTACATTATGTGTGTGTGTATATATATGCATACACACATATGCATGTATGCATACATAGATATATTTATGAAATCCTGTTTGCTTGGTTTTTATTAGAAAATAATTGGGTAGACTACAACCCTGTGATATAGATAGAGGTAATAAATATCAAATCATGTGACATGTAGAGTCTATTTAAGCCCATATACTACCAAGAAAATGAAAGACTAATTTGTTCTAGAAAGTATTATCTTGTCTTTTAGTTCCAGAAATTATATAATTGATTATGATTTTTCTGTTGACTCTCACACTTTTCATCAGTTCCCAGAGGCATGTTTTGCTCAGCAGTGAGTTTTACAAATACAGGGTATCTGTTCTTTGTACAAGAGACATTCTAATAGACTATTACTTAGTTTTATATAAATTTATTTTAGTTCAAAGAACCTTTTGAGAAATCACCATTTTTCTCACAATATGGACTTTCCTAACTTCCCACAAATGAAACAAATCTCCAGGTAGGATCTGTTTTAATTCTAATAACATCTTATAGGATGTTAGTGAATCTAGTATTAGATTATATTTTTCTGCCCTTAAGATCAGTCCTCTGTTTTCTAATATTCTATTCTGTTTTCAAGCAGTGTGTCTTCTGAACATTCTCAGCAATCTATTGTTAATGTATATTTACCATAATGTGTTTAGCTAAGAACCAGCTCAGTAATCCTGATCCTGTTTTCAGTCCCACTTATTCAGGAAATGGAATCCAGAATCATGATCCCACTGAAGACCTCGCCCCTCCAGTAAAGCTGTAGAATTTATATGTGCCTACATACATGTACGTGACGAGTATTTGTCAAAAATTAATTTTAATTGTATATCAAGTGAAAAAGAAACACTGAGGTGTAAACTGCTGTATATAGCTTCTAAGAGACTCTTTTCTTTAAAATTTACATAATCACAAGAAGGGAAACGATTGCAGTTTGACCGGTTGTAACAGTACTCTGTTGTCCTCTTTGAAGCATCCCTATGTTTGTCCAAGTCTACCTTACAATACTTAGCCACCACTCCCACCCTCCAGAGGCGTCCAGATTAAAATTTGAATCACTCTAAATAAGATTCCAACCATGGAAAAATTACCCACTTCTTTATCAAAAGCAAATCTGTTTTATAATTACAGATTTGTAGACAAATTTCTTGTATCAGGAAGAAATACAAATTTTGTCATGTTTCTCTAGCAGTTTTTCTCTGAGTCTCAAACTTGGAATAAATCACGCATGTGCCCAATACCTGCAAATGTTTTAATTCATTATGTTTAATCAGTATGATAAACAGTGTGTCATTACCAAGCTGGTAGTTATGGCAAGGTACATTTAATCAGTAATCCAGTCTTCACAGAGTATATTCTGGTGTCTCTATGTGAAAGAGAAAAAAATGGCTTGAGCCTATGTATCATGTGTGATTTTGAAATGAACACCTTGAATAGCACTAATTTTTATTTGTGATATTTTTCTATAATAAAATGAGTAGCACTAGGAAAAGAGGTTTTATTTTGTAAACAATCATTTGTGACCTCAGACCTTCTCTGGTTAATATTTTAGTAAGCTCACAGCAGATATTTCCAAGATCATGTATGAGGCGTGGTGCATGCTGAGATTTAAATGGGCATAAAACTGCATACTTTGTCTAGCTCTATGATTTAGTTTTTTTAAATACAGTGTGCCAATTTTGTGACTGTAATCTTGTGAAAATCTTGTTGAGATGAAAAATTATGTCTGCCCCACAATAAAGAATTTATGTGTAAGATAAGGTGTGAATAAATCTCAGTATCAAATGCCAAACTTTCACATGTGAATGGTTTTCTCCAAGAACATACAGAAGTCAGTAAAATCGAGCAACCCCTTCAGGTCCCCTCCCACTGTGGGAGCTTTTCTGTCTTCTCAATAAATCCTACTTTCAAAAAAAAAGGTCAATAAAAATCACTTAATTTTCACATATTACATGTTTGGGATTCTTTTTTTTTAATGAGCTTGTGCTGAGAATGATCCTATCCCTCTTGTAAAATAGCTCGCGGCAAAGGATTGAAGGTGAGGAAGCTGGCCAGTGTCTGGGGGGACATCCCTCCGTGGTGAGGGCGTGACTGTGGCATAGACCCAAGGAGGGTAGGGCCTGGTGTGTACTGGGAACAGCAGAAGCCACTGGCTGGAGCCGAAGAGGGAGAGCATGGTAGGAGATGAGCTCAGAGAAGTTGTTGGAAGTTGGAGGCTGTTAGGAAGACCTTGGCTTTTTCTCTGAGGTGGGATCCACTGGTGGCTTTCGAGCAGAAGAAAGGTGTGATCTTACATTTTATTTATTTTTTGAGTTGGAGTCTCACTCTGTCGCCCAGACTGGAGTCCAGTGGCCGCTCCCGGCCACCGCAGCCTCGACCTGCTGGCCTCCGGCGATCCTTCAGCCTCAGCCTTCCAAATAGCCAGAATTACAGGCATGCGCTACCACGCCCGGCTGATTTTTTGATTTATTGTAGAGATAAGGTCTCACCAAGTTGCCCAGGCGGGTCTCGAACCCGCGGGGTCAGGCAATACACTCACCTCAGCCTCCCAAGGCGTGGGATTACAGGCTGAGCCACCGAGCCCGGCTGATCTTACATTTTAAATGGTGACTTGGATTAGGGATGGCATTAGAAGTAGGGAGAATGGTCAGATTCCCAAAATATTTTGATTGCAGAGCCACTATGAGTTCCTGAGTGATTGTGGAGTGTGAGTGAAAGAGTAAAATAAAAAGTAAATTAGGTTTTTGGCATTGAGCCGCTGGAGGGGAAGGGGAATGCTGAAGGTGGGACAGATTTGGCGGAATGAAGGTAAGGAATTCTGTTTTACTCATGTTGAATATGAGATGTCTCTGCACATATCCAGATGGAGATACCAAGTACAGATGTCAAGTTCTGTGAGTCTGGAATTCAAAAGAGCAGTCTGGCCTGGAGATACACGTTTGTCCGCATATTGAATTTAAAGTGAGGCTAGATGAGCTCCCCAGGGAGTGAGTCGAGGTGGAGAAGAGGACCAGGGTGGGGTGGAACCGGCAAAGGAGATCTAAGAAACCACCAGGAAAACAAAGTGGGGTTTCACGAGTCCCAAGTGAAGAAAGTACATCCAAGATGAGTAGAGATCCCCTGTGCCGAATGCTGCCAAGACGATGTCCAAACACTGATTTAGCAACATAGTGGTAACTGGCAGCCTTTGATAAGAACATTTTAGTAATAAGCTAGTTTATGAAATTACCGCTTTGTTTCAGCAATTCCTGCTCAGTTTGTCAAATCCTTTTACTGAAACACCTGTAGTAGAATGAATCATTATTGTATTCCACTATTAATTTTCACTGGCAATATTTAAAACTTTCACACTCATTTTCCATTCATTGGATGTATAAGTCTAGTGAATATTATGCAAGCCAACTCATTTTCATTTACCATGCATTTGAGAGTTTTTTGGTTTGTTTTTAGAGTCGGAGTTTCACTGTGTTGCCCAGGTTGGAGTGCAGGGGCACACTCCCGGCCACCGCAGCCTCGACCTGCTGGGCTCAGGTGATCCTTCCACCTCAGCCTTCCAAGTGGCTGGAACTACAGGCATACATCACTGCACTCAGCTAATTTTTTGATTTATTGTAGAGGTGAGGTCTCGCCTTCTTGCTCAATTTAGTCTTGAACCCCTGAACTCAGGCAATCCTCTCGCCTCCGCTTCCCAAAGTGCTGGGATTGCAGGCATGAGCCACTGTGCCTGACCGCGTTTAAGGCTTTTAAGGCTATTTCATGAAGCAAGTGTTCCATGCTAAGGCATCCCTACCACTTTTTGTTTTGTTTTGTTTTTTAAGAGGCAAGGCCTAGCTCTGTCAGGCTGCTGTGCTGGTGTGCAGTGGTCTGGTCATAGATCACTGCAGACTCGAATTGTTGAGCTTAAACAATCCTCCTGCCTTAGCCTCCAGAGTAGCTGGGACTACAGGTGCACACGACCATGCCTGGCTAATACTTTAAGTTTTTAGTACAGATGGGATCCCACTATGTTGCCCAGGCTGGTCTTAAACTCCTGGCCTCATTTGATCCTCCTGCGTCAGCCTACCAAAGTGCCGAGGTTATAGGCACAAGCCACCACACCCCGGTCCCTACCACTTTTTACAGGCCTTAGAACACCTTTGCTCTCCAAACTAGCCCTTGAGAGAACCTGCTATTTTTCTCTTCACAACTGCCTGTGAAAAATCCTTTTCTTCAATTCCACATTATAATTTGGTTTTAATTTAGGATCTTGAAGATGGAGGGCACCCCTTCAATGACTAGGAGAGACACAAGATGGAAATAAAAGGTTCATACTTACAAGTCCTGGGGGGTACGTGGCCTGCCTGGAGGTCACCCAGACGATCAGGGAGTGCAGGCAGGGAGAGAAAGAGACCTCTAACACATTCCTTGCGACCCAGGGCATTATCCCAACGGGTTTTCCCCAAGGGGAGTTTTAATTGGTGGGTTTAAAGCAAACAGGCCTTTTCTTATAGTATTGCAGTAGTTGTTCGAGATCCACTTATGAGTGAGAACATGTGATACTCAGCTCTTTGTTTCCGAAAGTGGTGGGAAACTGCAGGGAGGCAGATGGGGCATTGGAGAGGTGGGATTGACAGGGGTCGATATCTGCCTGAGGAAGGAGGGGCACACCTCAGCCACAAGGGTACCTGCACGGTGAATATTTGTATACCTAGCCCTGAATTGTACCCCACAGTTTTAAATAAAAATTAAAAGAGGAAAAAAATATATATTCCTCATTAAAAAAAAAAAAAAAAAGAAGGCAAGCAGACATGAGTACCAGGCAGTCATCCGGTGATGGAGAGGTGATGGCTGTGGCATATCAGCATCATCTGTGTGAGGTGGGGGGGTCGGGGAAGCCTCAAGCACTTCCACAGGGAAATGGTCACTGGGGAGCAGTAGTTGTACAAGGCAGACATGGATCAACCTGAGGACCTGGAGGCTGGGAGGGAGAACCGGAGGCCGTCAAGAGGGAGGGAGTCCAACTCGTGCTTCCAGTGGAGGTCCAGCCAGCATAAAATTACAGGAATTCACTACAGATTTCTCATCATACTTTCTTTTTTTTATTTTTTTAGTTGGAGTCTCACTCTGTCGCCCAGGCTGGAGGGCAGTGGCCGTTCCCAGCCACCGCAGCCTCAACCTGCTGGGCTCCAGCGATCCTTCCGCCTCAGCCTTCCAAGGAGCTGGAACTACAGGTGCACGCTACCACACCCAGCTAGTTTTTTGATTTATTGTAGAGATGCGGTCTCGCCAAGTTGCCCAGGCGGGGCTCAAACCCGCGGGGTCAGGCAATCCACTCGCCTCAGCCTCCCAAGGCACGGGGTTACAGGCTGAGCCACCAAGCCTGGCTTTCTCATCATACTTTCATTTTCCTTCTGGGACACCATAGATGTTAAGTAATATGCTTGATGAATCAATGGAAAGAAAAGAGGGAGGGAGAAAGTAAGAGGCGGAAAAAGGGAGAGAGAAGGAAGGAGAAGAGAAAGAAAATACATGGGTGTTCTAATTGGAAAATACATGGGACTCTCAGCAGGGCCGTGTCTTTAGTCATACCCTATTTTTTCTTTTTTCTTTTTTTGAGTTGGAGTCTCACTCTGTCGCCCAGACTGGAGTGCAGTGGCCACTCCCGGCCACCGCAGCCTCGACCTGCTGGGCTCCGGCGATCCTTCCGCCTCAGCCTTCCGAGTAGCTGGAATTACAGGCGCGCGCTACCATGCCTGGCTGATTTTTTGATTTATTGTAGAGATGAGGTCTCCCTGCCCAGGCGGGTCTCGAACCCACGGGCTCAGGCAATCCACTCACCTCAGCCTCCCAAAGGCGTGGGATTACAGGCTGAGCCACTGAGCCCAAAAAACGACCGCATGATCCCCATGCCCCACCCTCCCTATTCATCCACTCTCACCTTGAGCAAACTTTTTTTGTTTTCCCAATGAAAAAGTCCTCAAAGGAAACATTTTGCCAATGTGAAAGAGGTGAAACAAAAAACGGCAGAAGCACTAAGAGGGCATCAAAATTGATGATTTCAAAAACTGTTTTGAGCAGTGGAAAAAGTGTCTCAACAAGTGTATTGCATCAGTGGAGAGTACTTTGGAGGTCACTACAGTTTAAACATGTAAGAATAAATGCACAATTTTTATAAATAAAGACAAGGTTTTTGGGGGGCTCCCCCCTTGTACACCTAGAGAAACTCAGTTAAAAACAATACCAAAGGAAGAAAATAAACATATGCAGAAATGCATCAAAAGTTAGAAAATGTTGTGGAAGACCATGGGAAAACTTCCTCTTCACCCTCTGAAGGTTTGCTAAAAACTACTGCTAAAAAACACAGAGTAAGCCGGGCTCGGTGGCTCAGCCTGTAATCCCGTGATCTGGGAGGCCGAGGTGAGTGGATTGCCTGAGCCCACGGGTTCGAGACCCGCCTGGGCAACTTAGCGAGACCTCATCTCTACAATCAATCCAAAAAATGAGCCGGGCGTGGTGGCGCACGCCTGTAGTTCCAGCTACTCGGAAGGCTGAGGCGGAAGGATCGCCGGAGCCCATCAGGTCGAGGCTGTGGTGGCCGGGAGCGGCCACTGCACTCCAGTCTGGGCGACAGAGTGAGACTCCGACTCAAAAAAAATAAAAAAAATAGATAAATAAATAAAAAACGCAGAGTAACAGGAGAAAAGGCTGTTAGGTCACACTCCCAGCGGGGCCTCCAGAATGTTAGGTCAGACCCGCTGCGGGTGTGGGTGTCTGGTGTGCAGTCTGGTGATACATGACAGATGCAGAGAATTG